TGACTCTGCTAGCCAAACATAACACAAGTCTTAAGCACCAGTTAGAACACCTAAAAAGGGGACAAGTATCATATTTAACAAAGATAATTCAAAATGAAATTACTGATATAATGGCGAAAACAGTTAGTTCCCAATAGCATTTTTTTACACTTGATGGTTTGGATATTGGACAATGTTTGTGGTCAATCTGACGATAACGGATTATCGTCAAATTGACCTTCAGATCGTCAGATTGGCTGTACTTATAAAGGAGTACAAACTAGGATTATTCAAATAAGCTGGCCAAATATGTGTGATGTTTGGCTTACTCTTTGAATCTTGTCAGTGTGCATTCTGCCTCATCTTGCCCCAAAGCAGTTAACTTATTTGGAATTATCCAGAAGATATTTAGCTTTTTTTGCCGGATCCACTAGTCGATGGGATATTAGGAAAAGATGTACAAACACCAATTTAAATGAGAAATTCCTATGGAATATTGGATAGAAGAATCTAAAGCAGCAGCCGAAAAAATTGAGGTTGAACTTATTCTGACAAATAAACGAATTCTAAAGCGCAAAAAGCAATTTGATGAATTGTGTGGAGACGAATCATGAACACTTCATCTTGTTCAGCTATTTATGTGAATGAAAATCTTATTTGATCAAATCTTATCAGAAATTAAAACCAGGGTAAACAGCGATACTACACTAAATTCAAATTTCGCATTTCTCAATGGTCTTGAAATATTGAATATGTCAACTGAAGAATTGCAAAAAAATGGAGCAGATCTTGCCCGAAAATTTGAGCAAGATCTAAATGCATTTGAGTTCTGGCAGGAACTTGCCATTTTTAAAGAACAAGCCCCAATGTTATTCGTCAACATAAAAAAGGCTAGAGCTTTTTATCTCTTGCAACAGATCTACACTTATGATTTTTGAGGATGCCTTTTACACAGATTTATGCTTCCAACTACATCCGCAAGCTGTGAGCGAAGTTTTAGCAAATTACAACTCATTAAAAACTATCTGCGATCATCGATGAGCCAGGAGCGTTAAATCTTGCAATTCTGGCAATTGAAAATCAAACAGCACATCAAGTTAATTATGACGATGCCATAGACTTATTCGCAGAACAAAAGGCTCACAAAGTAAAATTTTAATCCCGTAATATTTTAAAAGCGTTAGGTTGTAGAAACATTAGGTTATTTCAAAGCAAGAGAGATGAAAAATGAGCTCTGGGAATTAAACCCCGAACCTCTCGAATAAGCGTCGAGCGTGCTGACCACTACACCACGAAGGCATGCTAAGAAGGCGGGGAAAATACCATATAAGGTAAGAGCTTAAAATTATTAATGAATTAAGACTAATGTAAAGAAGTACAAATACTAACCTTTTCCTTTCAGTAGTAGCCCTTATTGTTGTTATGTATAACTAATGAAAGTTAGTTACGTAATTAATCAGCTCATCTTATTGTCCCAACTTATGTAATCTATTTTTTGTAAAAGGTTATTTTTATTATGAGTGCATATTTGATTGAACGTTAGGACTTACTTACTTAAGGATGTTATTGAAAAAAAGGAATTTAATTATTCATTGCATTAGTGATTTTTAACTTGTATATATTAGTTTAAGCTATTATTAGTAATGTGCCATTTTTATTTTTCGTAGTATGCTGAACTGCTTTAGTTACTTTTTACTGCTTTAGTTACTTTAGAACTGCTTTAGTTTGCCTGTAATGTTACTTTTTAATTAACCAAGAAAGCTTATGTTAAGTTTCAAAATAAATAGAAAAACCAAACATAAAAAAAAAAAAAAAAAAGAAAAAAAAAAGAAAAAAAAAGACGATCTTAACTAAATAAACGAAAATGCCCTTTAATTGACAGGCGCACTTATAAAGAGCCGTGATTTCCAGTTTTTTTTGTTTCAATAAATCTCTCAAAACCAGAAGCATGAAATAGAAACTAATGCCAGTACATGAAGGTCAAATGCTGTATGAATCAATCCATGTGAAAACAATTACCATTTAGCTCCATTTACTGGCTTTTAAAAATTCAAATAAATCATTCTGTTTTAATGTTACGTATACTCGATGCTGGACTCGTAGGAGCAGAATTGTTGCGTCGTGTATACAGGACACTGGGCTGGTAGGAGTGGAATCGTTGCATCACGTATACGCGACGCTGGTCCTGAACGGGTTAAATGAAGAGCAAGAAGCTCTCCAAAATGATTTTCTAATCTGTCAGCAGAAGATCCCCCCTACCCATAATCCTTCCGGAATACAATGTCAGTTTGAAAAACCTGAGAAGCATCTTCACAACCTTTTGTGAAGATGAATTTGATGCTCAGATTAAAGGAGGGCAGCTAAAATTTTTCGTAAAAAATTCTGATAATAAATAATTACAGAAAAGTTTCAAGACATCTCATACAGAATAATATTCAATTTCACATGTTCCAGATGCCCATAGAAGCAATTAAAAGTAGTAATAAAAGGATTACCAAATACTACATCTGAAACCGATATACAAGAATTGCAAAATATGAACTTTCCTGTTATAAAGGTAAAGCAATTTACTTGCATCAAAGACGGTAACATCTAGAAAATTCCAGTTTATTTTGTGGATTTTCTCAGGACTGAAGAAAATAAAGGAATCTATCAGTTCACTCACATTCTTAGTGTGAGAATAACAGTGGAAACTTTTCACCCTAGGAACAGTACCGCTGTCGATGGTATGGACACATTCAAGCAGGTTGTTTTAATAAGCCAATATGTGTTACATGCCTAGAAAGTCATTTTTCATATGAATGTACATGCAAAAGAAGATAAAGCTCGGTGTATTTATATGCAGGCAGCTCTCACCCTGCTTTGTATCGTGGTTGTCCGAATTACCCGAAACTCACTTAAAAACATGTCCCTTCCTCAAACAAGAAATCCTGCAGCCAGTAGAAAAAAAAAAAAAAAAGGGTCCCTAATCCTTTTTTTCACTGGAAAAACATCCTTCAGCAATGCTTTAAAAGGTACAAAACAAACCAACAAAGATGAATTAGCAGAGACACTTAAATTTTTAGCATCCAACAATACAAGAAAAATTCTAAAGAAGATCACTGAGCTAGCTGCTCAAGTAAAAAGAACAAATTCCTTAACTGACAAGGTAAGAAATGGTTTAGAAGTGGATGAATTTCTTGAACAGCTAAATAATGAAAAGATAGCAAATTGAAGCAAGCTGAGGTTAGCGGAGTGGATCAACAGTTTGAGAATTCGAGCCTAGCAGAAATTGTATATTATAAAAAAGTGACTTACCAAAATTCTTTTGGAGATTTAAAACATTTCCGCAGTGGACTTGTGTGTTTGAAATGATTTTTAAAGATCTTTTGAGGACCTACAATATTTTTATTTTATCTGCTAAAGACTATTATGCAAATGATTGAGGACTATTATGCAAGAGCAGAAAGATGAATATTATACTATACTAAGAGGACTATTATGCAAATGATTTTTAAACTGTATCTTTCAATATATTTATTGTATTCTCATCCCCTCAACATATGATCTTTATATATGTAGTTTTTCAGTTATTTTCGTGCTTTCTTTTTATACAATTTTACAATCAAGCTGTGAAAATTTGCAAATATAATGTTGATTTTTGTATTTGACTTCTAAATTAATAAATTCTAAACATTCTGACAAAAGAAAGATAATTGTAATTTTTGTAGTGTTATTTTTAAACTGCTCATTTGGAATTTCAATTCATGCAAGATTTAAAAAATTTAAAGCATAAAAGTATTGTTTATTGCCTTCTCTAAAGTCTGATACTCGGTGTGGCTGCACCAGCTCTGATGCCAGGCTCAGGCTGCCAGCTCTGATGCCAGGTTTATATGAATAACAAACCAGTTATTCTCAATTCCAACAGCACTAAATAATTTTGGTCTAGGAATATTATTTAAAAATCTATTTTTTGCATATGGAAAGAAATTTCTATTAAATTGTTCCTCATTGACACAATTGTTTGGAGTGCAGTTAGCTGAAATCTGTAATTATTGCCAGGCATAATTTCAGCGTAAGAAGTTACAATGATTTTTGGTATTTGGTTACTAATATTTTTAAAAAAATTTACTTATCACTGAAAGACTCATTTCTCAAGCTACAGTGCACTAATGATTATGTAATGATGAAAGTAAAAAATAATAAATAACGATCTGCCACATAAGCATCAAGGATATAAATTATTCAGAAGGTGTTACATGAATGATGTTTCGATGTAGAATGTTTTGGTTTGAGATGTATATGCAAAAGGACAACTACAGAGCCAAACTATCGACCGTATAGATGTAAGATGATAAATGACTGTTTCTTCAATATGGATGTATTTTACTTAGTACTGAAATGAAATTAAGAATCAAGACCCTCCACATGTTTTAGTATGAAAAAATATCAAATGCAAAGGCATAAAGCAAAAAAAAAAAAAATTTTTTTTTTTTTTTCGAAAAAGAAGGTAGCTGGTGGCTTGGATTTTAGGTCATTCTGGATTACTGCATGTTCAGATTTCAGACTTTGTAGTGTAATCAGTGATGTAGCTACAATGGGGGCTTGGGAGTATTTGTTCCCGGGCGTAGTATCCAGGGGGCATCAAACTGATGTTATGAAATTTTAGAATGAAATGTTTTCCATTTTTGGCATACAGAAGGAATTGCAAAATCTTCAGTTGTCCCTGGGCACTGAAAATCAAGCTATGGCTCTGACTGTAAGCTACCATTTTTATAGTCATCAGATCACTGTCTGACTCTCAATGTCTGCCTGGCCCTAATACTATGTGCAAACGTACCTTGCAGTAATTGGCATCCATTTTCTATTGCAGTAATTGGCGTGCATTTTATTTATTCCTTCCCTTCATAATCTAATTTTTTGTAAAAAGTAAAAGTGCATGGTAATTCTAATTTTAAAGATAGTACATATAATATTTGTCTTAAATTTGCTTTTCATTAATGTAATTTATTCAAAACTATGCAGACAGAAAAATAAACATGTACGTTGAATTTATTTTATTTAAAAATTAAAATCTTACATAACATTAGTGATTTTGCAAGAAAACACTGTGCAGAGAGAGTGAGTAAAAAAGTTACAAAATAACCTAAATAAATACTTTAAACTTCATAATAAATATTTTTAACTGCTCACTGTGAATGGAGGTATATTCAATTCTTCCCTGATATCCTTTATGTTCTGCTCCCATCTCTTTTCAAAATACACATTCATCAGAAACTTTGCTCTGAAACCACAATCTATGGCCCATGGGAGATAACTTTTCAAATATTTTTGGCGCTGCCTGAGAAAAAAGGAATGTACTTCATTGGACTGAAACACATACATGACAATTCAAAATAAAAATCAATTTAATATAATTGGATATAATTCAGAAACTGTCTCTTGCACTTCATAGCATAATAAGTTCATAAAAAACAAAATACTCAGAAATTCTTAATTTGGTATTGCCAAGAGCAGTTTTGACTAGTAATTTCAGCATGACTGATACTGGCCTGTTTCCAAATGCAATTTAAGAAGTTGTAACTAGCCATGCGACAGCTCTCATAATATTTTATTTCTCTCATACCGTTTGTGGGCACTTTTTCATCAAGATTTGACTTTCATCCTACAATATGAACTTATTGCTATAGAATTGCATTTTTTGATTATCGTGAAAAGGGTTTGCCCAAACCAACTAAAATACTACATATTATATGCAGCCATTCCCTTCCCTGCTCTACCGCAGCAGTGATTAGGAGGCAAATGTACTTTTAGTATTGAGTGAATCTTCAAGTCCGTTATGTAGTTCTCTTTCTTTAAACTGTGATACTCAAATCAGCTTGAGTGTGGAATTTAGTTCTAAATTTGTGTCCTTTTTAAATTGCTCAATGTATTGTTTATATAAAATGAAGAAACTGTTAAAAAATATATCTTTGTATGGTGCAGAAACTACTCATGGAAAACAATTCTGATTTGACAGGTAGACCAAATATGCTTTTGCAAATGACCCATTTTATTTCAACTTGAAATATCAAATCAGTGAATGATTACAAAGACATGCATAATTATGTGATATTTTTCAAAAATAATTACACTCAATTCAGGATAATAGAACAGTTTTATAATCATTTTCAAAGCATCCGACAAAACTGATTCTATGCTCAAAAGTTAGGTTTTTAAAAATCATACACTGGATAAAAAAATTAAAGTTTTTGTGACAACATACAAAGTCTTTTCAGAAAAAATTAGTGTCGAGTAAAAAGAAAACATAATGATTTACTTAAAAGGCTCTAAGGATTGTTCAACCATTAGCGGCTCAAATGAATTATAAAGGACAGTTCCTTTTTTTCAGGGGAAGAGAAAGCTTTCTATAAAGCAACCTCAAAATTATCATTTTCTAAAAAAAGAATAACTTATTCTTCTGAATTTTTTACCGCAGTTTTTTAATTTTATTGTATTTTAATATTATCACTGAGTAAAAATTGTGATGATAATGAGCATACTGAAGGAAGGTGAGAACTTCTGAAAGAGAGATTAAGAGTACTGTGTAATTACAAAATGTATAAACAGTTACACGAAAGAAAAAAGTTGCCAATCACTGCTCTAGAGCAAACTCTCAAGAACTTTTATAACAGCTTGACAATCCAATGAAATAAAAATTAAAAACACAATACCATAGCACTCCTTTCCCTATAAAGAAATCAGCTTTTATAATAAAAGAAAAGTTAATATTAACAATAAAAATCTAATTGATAAACTATCAAAGGGTTTTCAAGAATATGTATGCTAATGCTGGATGCAGCTGCTAAAATGAACTCATACTTAGAGTATTAAAATGCTCATACTTACAGTAAAAGATCAGTGCATGGCACAACATCAGCAACAGTAAATTTCTGAGGATTTCTTTCTCCTTTCAGAAAAAGCTAAAAGGTTTCACTAAATTAACCTTGAACAAATGGTTTCTGCACCAAATGAACAGTTATGTATTTTTTAAAGCACATCACATCTGTTAGCTTATTTGGTTCAGTAATTATATGCATCATTTTATTCTGTAACAAATGTCTTCAAATCCATAGAAGAAATTCTAATCTGCTGTAGCATAATTTTCAGATATCATTCTAAGAACATTTACTTATTTTTTCAATATATCTCAAGGATACTACATATTTTAAGACTGACTAAATCTTTTGACCCACCAACACACATAGAAGAGAAAATTAAATGCAGCACAGTAGGTCAGGGATAAAATACCAATATTTTCATCAACTGGGATATTAAAGAACGAGATATTACTTTTAATGTAGTCTTAATTCAAATTACTCTTTAAATTAAACTACTGACATCAAAGAAAAACGAACAATTCTTAGATGTGTAATTTCCATTTTATATCATAAATATAAAAAATGGTGAATTTATAAAAAGTTAGCATTATCAGAAACAAGTAAAATAACAGATAAAATTACAAAACAATCGTTCATTGCAAAGATAATTGGTTCCAAAACTCAATGCAATCTCGTAAGGAAATGAAATGAAGTTGTTTTATTTGAAGATGCAGTACAATTTTTATACAATTAGATACCGAATTTAAAATTACAAAAATTAAAATCTGAAAATGAATACAAGTCCAAAGTTAAAATTTTTATGGTTACGGTTTAAATTCTTTTGGAGCGATTACAAAAGTTTTCTGGCATATTTTACAATCCTGAATAACAACTCTAAATATTTATTAGATTTCTCACCAAAACACAAATTCTGGTCTTCCTTCATAATCATTATTCTTCGGTATGAAATTTGTGTATCAAGAGAAACTGAGGTGAAGTTGCTGAATACTGGTAATTTGACTGGGTTCGAATCCAGGTGAACAGGATGGATGCATGGGTGTTTTTCCCCTGTGTAACTTGATTAGAAGTCAGTTTCCTTTAGAGATTCCTCTATAAAGGCATCACTTCCCTTAGGCAGAAAGTCCTGTCATGCTTTGCCATAATCAAATAAACCAAACCAAGGAAAGTTGAGAACTATCAACAGAAGAAGACTCACACTAATGTGTATAATTAGATATTAATTCGAAAGAGGACGTTTGAACCACCTAAAGTATATTATTGCAATATTTTATAGAGCCTGGAACCTTTTTTTCTTTCTTCTTTAATCCTCAAAAGAATGAAAGTATAATTCTGTATTGCTAAGAGCTAATATGATTTCATAAATAAATGATGGATGACACAGTTATGTATGCCAGTTTACAATTGAATCCACTTGCATTTACCATTTATAAATCATTTTCAGTATTAATTTGATAAGAACAAGTGGCTAAAGTAAATCCCCACTATTGAATTCTGCCAGCAACGGAGCATGTTTTGAGCTATCAAACTGAAAGTAGCTTATGCTCAGTACGCACCAAATCAATGGCCTTAAAAACAAGTTGAATCCAAATTCCAATCCAAGTTAAAATAACATGCTAAATAATGATCATTTAAGGTGTTAAGGGAATAATATTCATATATTTGCAGGACTAGTTTCAAAGTTTAAATACTACTTCCTCCCTCTCATTATTATCAACTCATAGGCTTTTTATATCATTTATACTCGTTCAGCTGAAGAAGAAGGTTCTATATCTAAACCTTCAAAACTAGCTCTGATAATTTGTGAAATATTATTATTATTATTGTCGCCTTGGCACCTCCATTAACACAAATTCCAGTGTTAACATGGAATTCATACTTTTTAATATATAATTTCTTTCAAAAGATACCAGAGATTAAGTTTCAAACGCAGTACTATCTTCTTAACATGAGACAAAATAATGAAAATCCAGCAGGTACATTAAATACATTACATACCAAAAATGGTTACATTACATGCCAAAGGAATCTCTTTCTTTACATGAAAAAGAGGTAAAAAACCAATGATTGATGCAAAATAGTAGTTTTAGCACTAGTAAATGCTTCTTCTTGACTTCCGTTCTATAGCCATAATGAAATTCTTTCATTATGTAACACTCTCTAAATAGTTGCAGTGATACTGAATGACTCTAAATAGTTGCAGTGGAAAAGCTTCATGGAATAAGCAATTAAATTTAAAACTTTTCTTTTACCTTAAAAAATTCCTGATGGCTAATGGGGGAAAAAATCAAATAAACATGGAATTTAAAAATTTTGCTGCTGTAGCAGCTTTTCTAATATATTTGTTCTCCAGTTTAAATCATTTTATCATTCCTTACAAAAAAAAAAAAAAAAAAAAAAAGCCTCAGCTTTTGATGTTAATTTAGTTTCTTTGACATTAGATAAAACTTTAAAAAGATTTCTTGGTTGATCTACATTATCTAAAAAAATATGCATGGAGTGCACTTTCACTTACATCACAAAGGTATGTGGAAAGGAGGGAGAAAATACCTTAAATAGTCATATTCCTATGATTTTCATTTATGCACAGTGCAGCAATTAAACAGATTTTTTAATGAAAAAAATAATAGAAACTATTACTCAAATTATGAACCTATTAAAAATATAGATGATCCTCAAAATATGATCCTTCTGCATTAATGCAAACATTAGCATAATTAGATTTTTTTCAAAAAAAAAAAAAAAAAAAAGGAATAGATGTCTTTTTTGTTGTTGTTGTCTGGATTGAAGAGTTAAGTTTTGCAGTTCTTACTGTTGAACTTCTCAAGCTTCATCCAATATACTGTAGTTTTATTGCACCATCATCAAGTTTTTGATCAAGAGGAGCCATTAAGCCACTGTATAAAAAAACCAAGGATCATGGCTGATTTCTGTTTATGAGATTCAAGTATTATTTTATTAGCCATTAAAGTTGGAACAAATATAAACTAGCTTTTCATCAGTTTTCACAATTAGTATCTCAAACACATTCTAGTCAAATGCAAACTGGTTTTATTAATCACTCTGATATACGAGGTGTCACACAAAAAGAATAAGACTGGTCCAATAAATCATTATACTTATAAAATAAGGTCTCTGTGACATTATCACTTTCAAAGTTGTCCCCTTCAGCATTCACACACTTCTGCATTCAATGCTGCCATTGCACGTAATAGTTCTGGAACAAGGTTTTTGGAAGACCCTTCAGAAGATTCTCCGTTTTTGCCTGAACCTCTTCAACTGAGGTAAAATGGCTTCCCTTTAAGCAAGGTTTAAATTTAGGAAATAAAGTCACATGTCAAATCAGGTGACTAAGGAGGATGTCCCATCACAGTAATGTTCTTGCTGGTCAGAAATTGTTTGACAGATAGGGCCGTGTGAGCAGGTGCATTGTCCAGGTGCAACAGCCATCCATCACTAAACAACTGTGGCCTTTTTTCCCTCTAATTTTTTCATTAAGTTTTTTTGTACTTCAGTACAGAAGTGTTGATTAACAGTCTGACCACTGGGAACCCACTCAATCATTACAATTCTATTAATGCCGAAGAAGATAATTAACATTGCCTTGAATTTTGATTCTGACATGCGTGTTTTGTCCCTTCCCCCTAAAAATTGCTTATGCTATTCAAACATATGTGCACAAGACAAAGTTTCATCTCCATAAGCTTTAGTTACCATTTGAAATATTTCCTTGGCTGATTTCTTAAGTTTAAGAAACTTGATGTTTGATTTGCTGTTCAGTTTTTACATTAGACATTTCTTTTCCAGCAGAATGCACATGTTCACTCAATGATGCAGTACTGGCAACTGGTGTGATTGGTTAAGTTGAAACTCGCCGCATGGATAGAGGAGGTGTGTGGAATGACGTTACCAAAACAGTTGTTGCCAACTTAACTCTTTTTCTCAAGGTACACACACAGTTTCTTTTTTCTTTTTGTGTGTGTCACACCCCATATGTGGTAGTCTTGAAATTATATCTTACCCACATAAAAAAATGGTCTACTTCAGCAAAATTTAAATTGAACTTCAGGTTTAACTTGACATTTTCCTTTTCATTAAATTCTGGTTTAGAAATTGATTTATGATTTCCAAGTTTCTTAGATAAACTTAATACAAATATATATGGCAGAATTATTAATATAGAGATTCAATATATATAATATAAGTTTACATGAATTTGGATCACAGCGTGTATTTACAAAAATGACAAAATGCCATACATGCTATTAGTACTAGTATATCTATACCTACAAATATTTTTATTTTGTAAATGAAGATACTACAATCTCAAAATCTATTTTTTAAATTACCATATATGCTCACGTAATGTTCGCACATATTTTACTAAAATTAAACCACTAAAATGCAGATGCGGACATTACATGGTTGGTTCAAATGTCACGCTTTTCCTCATGAGTAATTTTGGGTATAAATTTAATTTCAAACAGCGAAGTTTCCAAGTTGAGTTTGAAAGTTCTAAGTGGAAGAAAATGGCATAAGTAATAAAAGTGTTAAATTTAAAGTTGTCTAATAGCTACCTAAAATTTACAAACTCCCTTTCTCCCATCCACATATATAATACAAATTACCCTATTTACATTAATACTCGGCGCATATTAGTTCGCACAGGAGCACAATATAGAGGCACAAATTAACCAACACTTGCAATTTTAATATTTACTTTTACACAAATTAAAAAAACATTGGTTCTTTTAATATTTTATACACATTAACTTTTAAAAAGGTCATTTCTGATGCACTGTATGAAAATTTTGGTTGTTATGTCTGCATGTGCAAATGTAAAAACTTTCTGCTGCAAACAGTAGCATAAAAATAAACAAGAAGGCAAAACAAATGCATATTCTTTCTTTAAAGATGTTTATTGACTAATGTTATTGACAAGCGGAAAAAGTGATGTTAAAAAAATATATATTTTAAAGTAAGAAATTCTTTAGTTTTTGGGGTGCGGACATTATGTGGGTCACTTTTTTTTAAAAAAATAAATTTTATATGTAAAGTTGAAGTACGGACATTACACGAGCGTATATGGTAAAATCCTAGAAGCACAGTTATTGATTTACTTTCACAATGTCTGACAGATCATTTCCAATCCCATGTATAAAAGGGTTCTGAATTAACTTTTGATCTTGTTTATGAAACGACTTGCATTTTTGCTATGATTACGGATTATTGTTGGTACATATATGCGTACTGCAAAAGTGGATTCACAAAAGCAATTATTCCTTCAACCAGTCAATCTATTACCTTTCAGTTAAAAGAACAGTCTTTTCACTGAAAAGTAAGTAAATATAAATAAGTTAGAATTAAATAATTAAGACCACCAGATGAATTTATATTATGATAGTAAAATTAGGCATCAAATCAACCTTAGTTTGGCTAGGAAAAAAAAAAAAAAAACCTAAGTCAAATAAAAGTTCCTTTTGTGTCTAGTTTGAAATTTTACATCACTTGTTTCTCATGAAATAGTAATGACAATTCTTTAACAGAGGTATCCTAGAGTTCCATAGCCAGCAAAATTAATTCATACTCATAAAAAACTTCTCTTCCAGTTCTCTTTCGTGAGAATTGCATTGTAGAATGTGCAAAATTGTTCTGAAAAGCTTCTGGAAAAAAAAAATCATGTGTTTTTTAAAGGCATAATAATGCTCCACAAATGCCTTTATGAGGAATATGAAGCACAACTATATTGCATCAAGTTTCATGAACTACTAGTAACTCTAGGATCCTAATGCCTTTTCATTTTGATCTAACCATTTACACTATTATTTGGAAGGAAGAATTTATCAAGCCTTATAATGTAACACCAAAATAAATCAATTTTCCATATTAACTTTCAGCACAAAGGCTATGATTTGCAAAATCAAAAGCATAAAAAAATTTTAAACCTTTTTACTACTTACTTGGCAGATATTTCAATAAATGAAAGGTGTATATATAACTTACAATTTATTACCAGTCGATATGAATTAGAAGATGCCCTTGTTAATTTATGACACAATGCATATAATACAAATATGTACTTAAAATGCATATTCCTGATATAAAAATGTGATTTTAAATAATGTAAATATAAGAAAGGCTTTACAGTAAATATAATTAAAACTTGGACCACACACACTACAGCAAATCAGCCTAACACTAGCAAAATTTACCTTTAATTTCTACATAATTTACAGCAAAAATTAGAGAAATCTGAGAGCATGTTTCAAAAAATAACTTTTAAACAGAAATATAAAGAGAGAGATAAGCGTCATTTACAACAGAAAATAACTTGGTATACTATGTAAATCAGAAATGAGGACCGTGCCATTAAAATATTGAATTAAAAATTAAGACCTTGCCATAAAAACCCTTTCCCAGTAAGGAAATAACAATTAATTAACTTTTCGTAATGACAGAAAAATCAATATTAACAATCGTATCTGGTTGTATACTTTATTGGACTGAAATGCATGCACATAATGTTATACTGAAAATACCAAGCTAACAAAGATGTATCCAACTGATATATTTTAGAAACTTTCTTTAATAGTTTATGGATTAACACAGGCAATAAAAAAGCAAACTCTAAAAATGTAAGTTTTTTCGTTATTTACATATTTATCCTAGTGTCCTTAAAAGTCAGCTATGAAACTATGATAACTATGAAAGCTGGGAGATTCTGAATTTGTGCCATTCATTCTAGTGGAATTCTGAACAACATTTCTATCTGCAACTCTAATAATAAAACATTCCAGCAGTCCCTATGCATTGTCCACCAAATAGCCACTGTTACAAAAGTATTCAAACGACTTCATTCCTTGCCCTTCGTACAAACACTTTCATTGATTTTTATTATTTTGTTAGGTCTTCAAATTTTACTAGAAGCTTTTTCTAGAATGCTATGTGTATAAAATTTCTGCACGTGATTGTTTCAATCTATTGCTGTTTTGGTGGCAATATCCAGCTGTCCTTTTCCCCATTCAACAGCTATTCATTCTCACCACCAACTGTAAATGAACCAGATTGCTGTTACAAATGTGATTCTACAGATCCTGAACTCGCTTTTTTCAAAAATTCAAGGAAAAGATAAAGTGATAACAGTTAATTTATATCCTTGTGAATAAAAACAAAAAGAGATTTATGGAGAATCAATCAGGGTTATATCAGACGAAAGTGCTGATGTCATGTGTTGTTATGTCATGCTTAACCATAATTGGGAATAAATTATGCTGATTGGTGACAGTTTTACAGTTGATGAGATATCATCTAAGTACAGATTTTTTAAATTAAAAAAATTTTACTCAACAACATAACTATAAAATGAACCTGATTAAAAGCATAACTATTAAAAAGTTTTATTCAGGAAATCTGCTCAACAGTGGTGCAGTGAGTTGGTCGATTTATGTGATTACAGCAAAGCCTCGAGGGCTATCTGCCTAAGGGAAGGAATGCCTTCGTGGAGGACTTTCTAAGGGAACTGGCTTGTATATATGTTACACATGGGGAAAACCATGAAAACACCCATGCACCCAGGCTGTTCACAGGATTTGAACCTCGGACTGAACTACCAGTCTCCAGTGACTTCGACACTTGGTGGGCAGTGGAGCAGTCAGAGAAATATAGATTAATATCACATCCCCAAAACATGGCACACGCTCAGATGCATAAAAGTAATAAATTTACAATAGAACTCTAGTAAAATCTTATGCATCAATACAGAAAAAAGAAAATCTCTCACAGAGTTTTAAATCGCAGTGGCCCAAATATGGCAGCAGCAGTACACATAGGGATGCCAGTTTGTATTGCTTCAACCCACTTTACAGCAACTTCACCCAACATATTAGTTGGCATCCCAAGGAGAGTGTGCTGTAAGTCATGTACTTCTCTATACCTTTGTATAACATAAGCAAGTTCTGCATCATCAATGAACTGCACAGGTCTTCTTGAATCCGGAGTTACATTCTAAACAAACAAAATAATAATAAACAATAAATAAATAAATAATTTCTACAAGTTTTTTTTCTAATTAGCTATCCATTTTTAAATATAAAAATCTGGAACTGGTTTTCATAAAAACAGTTTTGAACCATAAACTGCATTTAAGGCAATCAATATATTTCTATGCCTTTATTTTTCACCACTTCATTTTAAATATGCTTTTATAAGGTAAAGTACAGCTTGGTTTGCTAATGTAGCAGAATCTTGTTAACAAGTACTTTTTAGTACAATTTTATTGCAAATTACGATTAGTAGTTATATATATATATACAAATAGTTTTATTTACAGAACATATGCATTACAAATTTAATTATAAAATATTAGCCTTGTTTTTATTTCTAGAGGACAATTAAAAAAATATATGAATCACCTATACTTACATTATCCTTTAGAAAACATAAATAAGCATGTCCTAAAGTACCTTCAGGCAAAGTTTGAAGAAGTGGGAAATCTAAGGTACTTGAGCTAATTCTTGGTTTTTCACTGCACAAGATAAAGAAATACGAATAAATCAGTCAAGAATGTAAGTTTTAAAACTTCAAAACAACTTTCATCTGCAAAAGTAAAGAAGCATGATTATTGTTTGATTTTATGTATCCTTCTCCTTAATGTAAAAAAAAAAAAAAAAAAAAGTGGGGGGGGGAGAGTTTATATTTCAGTTTACTTTATTTTAATGTATGTAATTGCAATGCCAGGTAGACAATAAGATTAGAGATGGCCAATCTGCTCTGGAACTGATTCACTTTACTGAACGAATGATCAGCACTCCGACAAAAATGAAACAGAAGTTCTTTAACAGTTCACCCAGAGCTGTTGTAGGGAAGCGTGCCAAAAATTTGATTATTCCTAATGTAAGCACTACCAGTCTTCCCTTTACTATTTACCATAAACATCTCTCACTTATTTTTATGTGCGTATGTGTGTTATATATGTATATATGTCTGCTTTTGGCTTGCTAATGGATGGAGTCTTTTTTCCCCATTCTGGCAGGGCGAGGATCTGTTTAAAGTATATAGATTATAGAAACTAGTTCCTCAGATTCCCAGCTGTCAGCACTTCTATACTAGCTGCAGATTTGGGTCATTTGGACTTGTCATTATTCGCTCCTGTTCTAGCTGCGGATCTGATTCTGATGGAATTTTATTATTCATTCTTTCAAATCTGGTTCCTGCTGAGTCTTCATTATTTGCCCTTTTTGCTTCTTTGGAACTCTTCCTTGGAGTTTCATTTCCATTCTTTGAATACAGTCAAAAGTCGTTAATCCGGACTCGTCAGGACTTCGGCGATTCCGGATTACCGATTTTTCCAGATTATAGATCATCAGTTTAAATCTGGTAAGATGGCATGCAGAAATTATAAAATTAAAAATACAAAACCGTAATTTATGAAATAAAGAACAATTATGATCTAAAGGGTATCAAAATTTACAAAAAACAAGCTTAATATTTATTTGTTTGCTTTACTTTCTTCGCTATCGGAAGCGAATTATAATGACGAGGAATTTGATTTAAATCATATCAAAGATGGAATACATCGAGATGAAATACTACGTTTAGTAAGGATAAGCCAAATAAAACAAAAACATCTGCCCTGAAGATAAGAATAGTGCTGACAGATCAACTTCCAATTCATTGCGCGCCGCGGAATCCCTCCGCAGCAGATGCGAAATTGATAAACAGATTTTGGACTGGTTAAATAAACAAAGGATATACCTTTATCCATTTTTTGCGGCAATTCCACTTTTTGTTTAATGGACTTCGAAACATACTTTCGCTTTGTAGATCCTTTACATATTAAATATATATCGAAAATTCTATTTGACATAATCGAAAGTTCAAGCTTACTTTTATAAAATTGGTCTAATAGTCTGCAAAAAATAATAAGCCAGATCCAATTCGAAGATTAAGGAACAACGCAATCTGCAACATTAACTGAATTAGATAATTTTAGCTTAGCTTATACCGTCCGTTATACATTAAATACGCATGCGTAAACATATTTTGGGCACGCGCACACGCATATTTGCAGCTGTAATGGTCTTACGCGCATGCGTCAACGCGACGCATGCGCAGAAAGTTTGTAGCTTTGAGGTCCGGATTATAGATCATTCCGGATTATGGGTGACCGAATTAACAACTTTTGACTGTACTGTATTAGAGCATAGCTATATATATTAGGTATTACCTTTTTTATACAATACAATACTACTGTAATATTTATGTAAAATAATAAATTATACTTCTTTTTATTTACTTATTTTACTAAGGTCTGGTAATCAAGAGCTGCGAATTTCTCTTTAATCTTTTTTATAATTAGCATACATTTATAAACAAAAGTGTTCCCATTTAATGCATTTTTTCAAGGTTGCAAACCAAAATGTGGATCCTACCGAACAGAAGAACATCCAGTGATATTTAGAATCGTTTTGCCAAACTAAATTTTAAAAAATCTGATGCGTACACCACAACTTCCTTGCATGAAACACTAAGTTATATGCATTCTATCCTGCATTTCATTTAAACTTATTTCCTCAAATTTCATTAGATATATTTCTCATTCAATTAATTCAGTTCTCACTTTGCGGCAAGGCAAAAATACATAAAAACTCAAAACATATTCATTAAAAATTTAAAGATACAGAAAAATATAAAACACTAGATACAATTAAAATAATTTAAAAAAAAATTTATAATTAAAATTACAGTTTCCACGCAAAAACAAGCAATTCGGTCAACAGGAAAGAAGGCAAATTTTTTGGTGCACAAAATTAAAAGTTTCGTTTAGGTCCTACTTGGCAAAAAGATACTGAAAATACAGAAAGACTTAATTCACTATTCTACTAAGTTTCCCATGTAAACAAATATGGCTGTTACGGTAAATAAAAAAATAAAATAAATAAATAAATAAATAAAAACCAGGCTTAGTCACACTTAAACAACTTTTAAATTGTTGATAATTCTGCAACTATTGGTGTAGATTAACTAAAGGCACAAAAACCTTAACCAAAAGATGGTAACATAACTCAATCATTTTTAAAGCAAAAAATGCACAATTTACTAACAATAAAAAACTGAGCTCATTGAGCCAAATAACAAAGAGGATATATATATATATACTTTTTGTGCGATTGATTAAAACCAAATTTTCAATGTTCTGAGGCTACACGCTTTTGAGTTATGCGAGATACATATATACAAACGTATGTACGTACAGATGTCACAAAAAAACTCTTCTAAATCCATTTCAGATCAGTTTTATAATTCGTTTGGGGAAAAAGAGTTCTTTATTATGTCCGTGCGTACAGACATCAGGCAAAAACATGATTAAATTGCATTGAATCTCGGTCAAAATGAAATTCGATTCCAAAGCAGACATGATGGATTAAATCGTGTGCTTCACTAAGTTCTTCAGTGGAAAGGTAAATTTGTTTCTTCTTATGGTATGCAACCTGCCATTCAGCAAAATGGCATGATCAAATTCATCTCCTTCAGAGTCGGCGTGGTAGCCAAACCCCTCTTTCACAGTCATGTCCATGAAAAAGCTTTAAAACCCATGAGTTCAGCCACTGAACAGCACAAAGTTAATGTAAATACAGTTGCAGCTTTCTATCACGAAAGCTCCTAGTCAAAATGGTTCTCTATGCTTCCATGCTGACCAGAATCAACGACTGTGCATCTGCACTTAAGCGAGAAATGTGATTGATGCAACATGCATCTTGTTCTTAAAGTTAACCGTCTTTTAGTTATGTTAATGGAAAGACCGGCTGTAGACATTTTGCTACCCAGTGCTATTTCTGTGGGTCCTAAATTATGTTACCCTACACTTTCTAAATTCTAAAAACTTTGCCCTCCCTAAATTCTGCTGTTGTGCTTCTAAATTCTAAAAATTTTGCTGCTCATTACTTTTCTAAAGTCTAAAAATTTTGAGACCCATGACTTCTGGTGCACAGTTCAACCACATATTCTGAGGCCAACCCTGTTAAGGAAAATCTGTCATGATATTAATATTAATTACTTGTGATTTGCAAGAAACACCACATACCAATTTTGATTCTTTTTTTTTTTTTTTTTTTTTTTTTTTTGTTGTTCGTGACCCCTTTTTATCACTGATACTTTTTTTTTTGCGACCCCCCATAATATTTACAAACATTTTGTGGGACCCAAGAAGTATTGCGCAAATCTGACACATGTGTGAATAAAATTGTCAATTTTTCACTTGTACTGTAATATACTATTGCAGTTTTAGGTCATTAACTTTAATTTATAATTTTAAGACATAGAACAATGTGAAAATTTTAAATAAGTAACAGACGAAATGACACGTGCAAAGCAAGGAAAATGAACGTTTATATTATAAAAAGAATGCGTCGAAACGTTTTCGTTTTTCTCTTTGTCGGTATTGTCTTTATCTATTTTCAGATACGTTGTCAACTCAGATGTCCAATATTTGGAATAATCAAAGGCTTAATCATTTTTTTTTAATAATGAATAAGATAGTCTAATACTGAATATATTCCATCAAATCAGTGAAAGGATACACACTTTTTAAATTGAAATAATAGTACTTTCTAATTACTTACATCTCTGCTGAAAATTCACCAAAAAGCACTATATCATTCAAATAGTTATATTATAACTCAAGATGTCGCCAAAAATTAGGTACTTACATATTAATGCAACAACCTTGGCAATTTTTTACGGAAGAAAAGGCATGTATTCCGTAAGTTATAACTGAATGTTTGCAATTTTGTCGACTTCTTTAAAAGTGAACCATGAATATTTATCATAAGGTGGCAAACATTATTAATATATCAAATGGAAATGCATTTATTTTCTCAAGCCCACAGTGATCTGTTTATACTAAAAAAGTCACAAGAGAAATGCACAGACCTGGCACTGAGCACAACTTCAGAATGATCACGGTTGCTCAAGAATGATTAAATACAGTCAAAAGTCGTTAATTCGGACACCCATAATCCGGACCTCAAAGCTAAAAACATTCTGCGCATGCGCCGCATTGGCACATGCGTTTTATGGGTGTGCGTAAGACCTTGACTTACTTAATGTTAATGATTGCGTTGTTTCTTAATCTTCGAATTGGATCCCGCTTATTATTTTTTGCAGACTGTAAGAGCAATTTTATAAAAGTAAACTTGAACTTTCGATTATGTCAAATAGAATTCCGATGCTGGAACTTCCAAAGGATCTACAAAACGAAAGTATGTTTCGATGTCCAACAAACAAAAAGTGGAATTGCTGCAAAAAATGGATAAAGACATGAAGAATGTGACAGAGAGGTTAGCGAAAACGAAAAAATTTCAATTGACAAGTTAGTCGGTATTCTCGGCACAGCAATTAACGGGACTTGAACAGCGGAACTTTGTAACTGAACAAGAAATTATGTCTGTTTATAGAATTAAAGAGAAAGTATTATCACATAAAATGAAGCAACTTAAACAACTTACATTGAAAGAAATGTTTAATAAAGTAAACAATAAATATTAAGCCTTTTTTTTTTTGTAAATTTTGATACCCTTTAGATCAATTGTTCTTTATTTCATAAATTACGGTTTCATATTTTTAATTTTAGAATTTCTGCATGCCATCTTACGAGATTTAAACTGATGATCTATAATCTGGAAAAATCGATAATCCGGAATCGCCGAAGTCCGACGAGTCCGGATTAACGACTTTTGACTGTATTGAAGTATACAAATGCATATGAAAATGGCAATGCAGCTAGAATGAAGAATTCTTATGCACATGGCTGCCAGAGTTTCAAGTGTTCTGAAAATTTGGAGACTTCTACAAAGGCGGTTGTGAAATACATAAGAACCAAATGTATTCATGTGGCAGCTCAGATATACATGTAGCACATATCTCTTTCTGATGGTGCACAATGCTGAATGGCACAAGCACATATCTGTTTCAGATGGTGCACAATGCTGAATGGCACAAGCACATATCTGTTTCAGATGGTGCACCATGACTGAATGGAAGCGTAAGAGTAAATAACTATTTCAGATCATTATTATAATTTATATAAAAATTGCTAAACATAATTGAATGGATGCCTGCATCTCTATTTTGCTACCGACTTATCGCTAAAGGATAATTTCATCTCGTTGGTTGTTCAAACGTAATTTTCTATAATGAATGATACCTTTTCTTTGAAAATATTCTCGGTAAAGTGCAGAATCGCTGACTTATTTGTTTGCCGTTTTTTACAAGGGTAAAAACAATTGAATTTTTGTCAATTTTTTTTTACTTTTTAAGTGAAAATAGGTCGATGTGTACCAGAGTCGTAGCTAGGGTTTTCAGCGCCCAGGGACAACTGAAGATTTCGCGCCCCCTACTGCTTGCCAAGGATGGAAAACATTTAATTCTAAAATGTTGTAACATCAGTTTGGCGCCCCTTGGATTCTGCGCCCGGGAACAGATGCTCCCCTTGCCCCCCTCTAGCTATGCCCCTGATGTGTACATAGATAAAGTCAAGGGTGTACGCAGTGCCATTTTTGTGCAATTCTAGGATTTTTTTTTTTAAGTGAAAATAGGTCGATGTGCACATGGATACCGAGTATGTGCAATTCTTAAAAACGTGTCAAGCAGTGGGTGATTCTGCACCTTATCCAAAATTCTACTGCCGACTTTTCGTCATGGATAATTCCCAAATTGTTAAATCTATAAGATATCAAAAAAGGATTTAAAATTAAACTAGTATGTCAATGGCATCTTAAGAAATATAGAACTATGGAAACTTACGCAATCTGAAATTAACGCGTACGCTAGATTTGAAGCGCTGTTAAATGGGCGCGTTTGCTAAATTTGGAGCTTTTGCACATACATTTTTGCTGCAATTTTTTTACGACCCTCAAAACCGAATAGTAACGTATTTTATTACTGACGTTTCTTGTTTTTAGTTTTGTTGAATGACTGCTCCTGTATGAAATTCTTAGTGTGCCTCACATTTTGAAAATGGCTGTTGCTTTTGCTCACAAATTAGTAGCCAACAAGTTTACAAATGCTCTTTAAATTCACCAATGAGTTTGCGACTTTTTGGCAGGAGTGTAAATAACCAGAAAGTACTGATATGACCTTAAACATTCAGAGTTTATACAAACATAAGAATCTGACTTCCTTCAGGATCTTTAAGCATTTTCTCTCTGATTTTCTTAGCTGCAAAGCACCCAGTAGTCTCACTTAAGACAGCAACCATATCTGAAGTGAAAAAAAGGTGAAAGTTTTAACTACATGCATTCCAAACAAATTTAATTCAAAATTCACAGCAAAGTTAAAATAACTGTATTATCTATATCAATAATGTACTAGATTGGATGTACTGAATGATAATGGAGGTCTGAATTTGCTTTTGAAAATATGTGCCACATTTAGGTAATAACTACTTTCCACACTCTTTTGGGGTTAAAACAACTACTGAAAAATATAGCTTATTTATGCTACTTGATTATTTTTAACAAAAGATCACCGATCATAATTTTTCAAACATTTTAAATTCATAACAGAACCAGAAAAAAGGATATATATTAAACATTATAATTAAATGTTTCAATTAAGAAATAATGTTAAAAGCTAGAATAAAAATTTTCAGTCATCGAATAAAAATAGGAATAAAACCACAGTATTACATATACAGTCAAAAGTCGTTAATTCGGACACCCATAATCCGGACCTCAAAGCTACAAACTTTCTGCGCATGCGTCAATGCGACGCATAAGCGTTTACACATGCGCGTAAGACCTTTACGGCTGCGCGTAATACGTTACGCATGCACGTTAAATGTATAACGGACGGACGGTATAATCTAAAATTATCTAATTATCTATTTCAGTTAATATTGTAGATTGTGTTGTTCCTTAATCTTCGAATTGGATTCAGCTCATTATTTTTTGCAGACTGTTAGAGCAATTTTATAAAAGTAAGCTTGAACTTTTGATTATGTCAAATAGAATTTCCAACGTTGGAGCTTCCAAAGGATCTACAAAGCGAAAGTATATTTCGAGGTCCATCAAACAAATAGTGGGATTGCTGCAAAAAATGGATAAAAGCATATCCTTTGTTTCTCTAACCATTCCGAAATCTGTTTATCAATTTCACGCTGCTCTGCGGCGTGGAGGGGGGGAACGCCGTGGCACACAATGAATTGGAAGTTGATCTGTCAGCACTATCCTTATCTTCAGGGCAGATGTTTTTATTTTATTCAGCTTATAATTCCTTACTAAATGTAGTATTTCATCTCGATGTACTCCGTCTTTGATATGATTTAAATCAAATTCCTCGTCATTATAATTCGCTTCCGATTGTGAAGAAAGTGACACAGAGGTTATTGAAAATGAAAAAATTTCGATTGACAAATTAGTCGGTATTCTCAACACAGAAATTATAGGACTTGAACAGTGGAACTTTCTAACTGAACAAGAAATTACATCTGTTTATAGAATTAAAGAGAAAGTATTATCACATAAAACGAAGCAACTTACATTGAAAGAAATGTTTAATAAAGTAAACAAATAAATATTAAGCTTTTTTTTTTTGTAAATTTTTATACCCTTTAGATTATAATTGTTCTTTATTTCATAAATTACGGTTTCATATTTTTAATTTTATAATTTCTGTATGCCATCTTACCAGATTTAAACTGATGATCTATAATCCGGAATCGCCGAACTCCCGACAAGTCCGGATTAACGACTTTTGACTGTACATTTTTTATAATATCTGTTCATTATTCTCTGTAAAGGTACAATGAAACATCAATGTTATCTTGTCAAAAGTCTGCTTTATTCACAGATTTCTAATGTATAATTAGAAATTATTTAATTAGAAAAGATGAAATTAAGGGTCATATGTGATGTGTCCTCACATACTCATGACAATCTATTTTTAAATGATAGCTTAAATTCTGAATTGTTAGATTTGCTAATTCATTTTCGTGGACACAGAATAGCATTTGCTGCAGATATTGAAGCTGCTTTTTTATAAATTTTACTGAAGCTTGAGGACAGAAATGCAGTAAGATTTCTATTTCTTTGGATTGCAAAAGAAAAGACAGTACTGACAATTTTAAGCATGATGTGCAAAATATTCAGAGAAATCTGTACCCCCTTTTTATTAGCAGCAACTAGAGAGCATCACGCAAGAAAGTAGAAATCACAATACTCAAATATATACAGTACAAAGTCCGTAATCCGGATGTCCATTATCCGGAATGATCTCAAAGCCACAAACTTACGCATGCGCACTTCCGATAGTAAAGAAAGTAACAGAGAACATTATTGAAAAGGAAAAAATTTTGATTGACAAGTTAGTTGGCATTCTCATTCGTGTCGGCACAGCAATTACAGGACTTGAACAGTGAAACTTTGTAACTGAACAAGAAATTCTGTCTCTTTATAGAATTAAAGAGAAAGTATTAGCACAAAAAACAAAGCAACTTAAACAACTTACATTGAAAGAAATGTTTAATAAAGTAAATACAGAATTGCAGAAGTCCCGACGAGTCCGGATTACAGACTTTGTACTGTATGAACTTCCTGAAGAAAAACATTATGCACATGATTTGATTCATGGAACAGATGATGAAGATGCTGCAGAAATTTGTGAAGAATTCTTACCATGACGATATGGATCTGTTATAGAAGCTACTGATGATCCAACAGTTAACAAAACTTTCTGTAATACTGTTGTAGGAATATGTCCTTCGTATAATAGTTTATTACTTTCTTTAACAAAATCTTCGTTGGCTGTGTCAATACCTGAAATATTAATTCGAAAACTGAACTACAAATGTAAATTTTCAAAAATAAAAAGAAACAATGGAAAGTATTTTAAAACAAAACAAAAATACTCAAAAATGTAAAAACTTTTATTTCCAAAAATCTTGTATGTTAATGAATAAAAATTACTACACTATCAAAGATTAGCCCAGCTATGATAACTCCCTTTTACTTACAATGAAGATATCAATGTGAAGCCAAAGATTATCACAGTTAGTTGTCTACTAAATAAGCATAAACATTTTTAAAAAAATAAAAGAAATCTTAAAATATGAATATAGATACAGTAAAAATATTTTGAATTCTTATTTTTAAAAATTCTAAATGCCACAGGCGATCCAGATGGCTCTAAATTACAGTGATATAAGAATGTTCTAAGATACTCTCTTTTCATTTGTTTCTAAAAGGCATAAAAAAGGTATACAGTTTTGAACTTGAATAAAGGGTATCTATGTATTATTACAATCACCTTAGAAGTTGCCAAATTTTCAGAATGTGCTAAACTCTGGCAGTCACAACAGTTTTTCAGATAACTATGCTCACAACAATACTAAGGAATGTCACCATTTTAGTATGTATTCTTTCCATTGTATTCCTAGTTCTAATGGTTTATGTCAACAAATGGTGGTATTTTTTGCCTTGACTTTAAAACATAAACTTGTGCCATCTTCCAGGAATGTAAGAAACTGCAATAAAATTTCAGCAGAAATTCAGAATTTTGTGGCAGAATCTCTAAAGGGAAAAAGAATGAGATGCATTTGGTAGATAGCTGATGTTGCAGAGATTTTCAAGATGTCTGTGCAATTTTGATGCTTTTTAAGTGAAAATTGATTGTTGTGTATTTTATGAGAACAGTTTAAAAAAGGACAAAGATTTAAAGACAACAAGTGTTTTATTTTCAATGTATAACATACCCCTTATTTAATAATTAAAGTCTGTATTTTAAATAACTAAAATATGTTTTCTCTTTATGTGTTGATAATGGTTGCTGCCTTGCGATATAGTTCACAAATCCTTTTTAACAAAGTAGCGAAAACCACTAACTTGCACTCAAAAAACAACTTTTATCTTTTGCAAGTAAAAAAATGCCAGGTTGTGTTAATACATAAGTACTAAATAAAGCATAATTTATATGACTCTGTTTCAAAATTTTTCAGTTACATATGACATATTTTATATCAATAGGGGTCTTTTTGCTCCTGAAGAAGGACTTGCTATATTCTTGCATATTTAAGCAATTAATTTTTACCTCTAATTAAAAAAAAATAAAATTCTGAAGGTCAAGCTCCCGATAGTCTGTTTACCAGCAACAATATTTTTCTCATTTTAGAGCTATGAAAACAGTACTTATCCCCAAATGAGATAAAATCTTTATTTACCAATCAAAAGAAACATATTTCTGTGTTCAGCATCTCTTATTCCATATCACTGTCAGCACCACTAGAGTACACCTGACTATTACTGGTACCGGTATTCTAGAGCATATCCTGATGACCTAAAACCACTCTAAACTAGTAAAATCCTGTAATGACTGATGGGTTTTTATACTCAAAATCCATCAGTCGTTACATACGTGATGTTATTTTGCATATGTGGTTGTGCTGCCGTATTACTATTTACCTATTTCTAAACATGCATGTGTATAAGCTGTGTCCCTAATTTTCCTCTGCATTTTAGTGAAAATAGTGCATCCTATACACATGAGAATATGGTACCATTGAACTCAATAGTTTTATTGAAATTCTAAGCAAACTAAAGTATTTGCCCAATTTAAAATTTTATATTAGCATGTTTTGCTTACAATTAAATGTCTTATAGTGAACAAGGGTAAGGAAGAAGAGACATGTACAGAAGAAATATTAAACAAAATCTCAGGTATTTTGGTTGGGATTGGATTATTTCGGTACGTAAAGCATATAAAGGTATGTGCACCTAGCTACATTCCAATTGCGACTGAACAAGAAATTTGAGGATCTGATATCACACTTTCCCTTTCACAGCCTCTCAAGAAGACTTCTGGGGGAAAAAAATTAAATGTCTACAATATTCTTTATTATTACAGTCCTCACTTTATAAATGCAAAGGACTTTTGTTACATAAACTCCGCAAGCAAGGCTCGTGATGATGGGGAACTGCACTTCGTTAATGTTTATTCCACTACTAAGTGGAGTGCCATAGTCTTTAAACACTTTGTGCATGATCTGTTATTGAACAACATAATTTTGTAATTTCCAGTAAAATGTCTCTAACCTGCTTTTTCTAGTTCCTAAAACTCTAATAAATTTTGTTTTTCAATTAGATTTTCATTTATATCCACTATATTTTCAGAACCACCTATTTGTTTATTTGATGTCAGATTAGTTGTTTGGGAATGCATCTCTCTCATAAAAGTTTTCCAGTCAATACTTGTACTTTCATAAATACTGAGGTACTTCTAAAACTGTAGCTAGGGTTTCCAGTTGCCGGGAACAACTGAAGCTTTCACGCCAACTCCTGTTTGTCAGTCATGAATGGAAAACATTTCATTCTGAAATTTTGTCATTCCCTGGATACTGTGTCCGGGCACAGATGCTTCCAGCCCAGCTACACCAATGAATCCTTCTCCCACTCCTTAATCAACATCAGTTCCTCTGCTTAAAAGTACATAAATTTTACAAAAAGTAATGTGCAATTTTTAAAACTTATGATTTTCTTTCACTTGAAACTTTTCATGTTGCACCTTCAGTTGCTGAGCTTTTCTTGTGACGAGAGAATTATCACCAATCATGAATTACTAACATTGATATGAAATCTGAAATACGATAACAGATTGTTAACTTAAAGCACTTCTTATCCCGAACAAATTATCACTGTTATTAGAACTAGTGGCCATTTGAAGACTGTTCGTACTGAAGATTTATCAGTATTCTTGACACCATTCAAAAGGACAGTAATAGTAAGGAAGTACTGACAAAAGTCTATAGTTTGTATGACTTTTGAGTAGAGGCCCATCAGCCTTTACCAATCACCATACAGAAAAGGAAAGATTACAAATTTAGAAACACGGAGATTAACTTATTGACTGCCGACAGATGAGCATACCTACCATAAAATTTATGCATTTCTATGTCATAATGCATTTCCAGAGTTTATTCATACACTGTAATGTTGTACAGTATGCATGAAGATCAACAAATTTAAAGAATAATGATCATGATTATAAGATTACTTTGAGATTTGTTGATTACTTCAAATATTTTCATACAAAAGTCAATTCAGTAATTCACCATATACGAAAAATTTACAAAGTATTTATCTGAAGTGTATTCCCCATTTACACAAAGCTGAGTAAATAATTATTTAATAAACCTATTTTTATTAATTTTTTAACATTAACACGAATCATTAGACTTAAAACAGGTTAAAATCCGATTCACCTAAATTAAGATCTAGTTTAAGTACACTTAAAGTACTTTGGGGTTTTCTTCCACAAGGACCTGTTGTCAGAAATACCTTTTTTGTCATCGATGCTTTGCGCATGCACTTTGATTTTTCCTTTCCATAATAAAACACGTGAAGGTTTTCAATAACCTCTGTGTCACTTTCTTCACTATCGGAAGCGAATTATAATGACGAGGAATTTGATTTAAATCATATCAAAGACGTAGTACATCGAGATGAATTACTACATTTAGTAAGAAATTATTAGCCAAATAAAATAAAAAATAAGAAGATAAGGATAGTGCTGACAGATCAATTTCCAATTCAGTGCGCGCCGCGGCGTGTCCCCCCCCCCTGCCGCAGAGCAGCGTGAAATTGATAAACAGATTTCGGAATGGTTAGAGAAACAAAGGATATGGCTTTATATCCATTTTTTGCAGCAATTCCACTTTTTGTTTGATGGACATCGAAACATACTTTCACTTTGTAGATCCTTTGAAAGCTCCAGCATCGGAAATTCTATTTGACATAATTGAAAGTTCAAGCTTACTTTTATAAAATTGCTCTAACAGTCTGAAAAAAATAATAAGCCAGTTCCAATTTGAAGATTAAGGAACAACGCAACTGCAACATTAACTGAAATAGATAATTAGATAATTTTAGCTTATACCGTCTGTTATACATTAAACGCGCATGCGTAAATGTATTATGCGCAGCTGTAAAGGTCTTACGCACAGACGTAAATGCCTATGCACATGTGTGAACGCGACGCATGCGCAGAAAGTTTGTAGCTTTGAGGTCCGGATTATGGGTGTCCGAATTAATGACTTTTGACTATACACCACTAAAACGCAGGTGCAGACATTACACGGGTCGTTCAAATGTCGTGCTTTTTCTTGTAAAAGGTTTTGGGAATAAATTTCATTTCAAACAGCCAAGTTAAATTCTAAGTAAAAGAAAATGACATAAGTAATAAAAGTATCAAATTTAAAGCTGTCTAATAGCTACCTAAAATTTACAAACTCACTTTCTCCCATCCACATATATGATATAAATTTCCCCGTGTATGTTACCAAAACTTGGCGCAAATTAGTTTGCAGAAGAGCACAATATAGAGGCACAAATTAACCAACACTTGCAATTTTAATATTTATTTTTACAGAAATTAAATAAACATTGGTTCCTTTTAATATCTTGAACATATTATATTTAAAAAAAATATATTCTGACACACTGTATGAAAATTTTGGTTTGTGACTGCGTGTGTAAATGTAAAATTTTTCTGCAAAAAGTAGCATAAAAATACACAAAAAGGCAAAGCAAATGCATATTCTTTCTTTAAAAGATGTTTACTGACTGAAGGGAAAAAGGCAATGTTAAAAAATTCAAAAATAAATATTCAGTATATTTTAAAGTAAGAAATTGTTTAGGTTTGGGGTACGGACATTATGTAGGTCAAATTTTTTTTACATAAATTTTATCTGTAAATTTGAGGTGCAGACATTATAGGAGCGTATATGGTACATGGAAGCAATTCCACAAAGAACACGGTAAATGTAAACAGTACCAACAATGACGATAATAGTTCAAACCTGGTTTTACAGCAGATTCACAAGTAGCAACCATTAATGTATCGTTTTTGTTCCTCCACTGATGGAACACACAGCGAGTTTATTTAACACTTTAATTTCACAAGATGAAAGATACACTAAAAAAAATGGTGGCTTTAATCCTAAGTATGGTACTGTCTTGTCTGTCCTTTGGTCTGTAGGAATGTTACATGGTTTGGTAAAATCCTAGTATACGGTACAGCCTTGGTGCACTTTTGAAAACTGTCGCCAACACCAAAATGACTCATTTACTGCTCATCATAAATACCGTGTTTACTGATCATCATAATGTTGCCAAATCTCCTGTGTACCGTGTACTGAGATTAAATCCCAGTGTATTTAGGTATTGAAAGCACTAAAAATTCACGGTTTAAAAATACTCTTGATGGAGAATTGCGATAGCAATATAGTTTCATAAACGAATTTAATAGCGTTGGAATCATTATAATTAGAGATTCCTAAACCACACCTCTATGGTGTTCATATTTATTACTCTTTTGCAGTCAGATACTATTCCTTGCTAATATTGTCAGCTAAATCGGGGAAAGTGCAGAATCACCCACTGCTTGGCGTGTTTTTAAGAATCGCACATACTCGGTATCCAGGTACACATCGACCTACTTTCACATAAAACATCAAAGAAAATTTACAAAAATCCAATTCTTCTTACTCTTGTAAAAAGCATCAACCAAATAAGTGGGCGATTCTGCACTTTACCTGCTAAATCATTTGAAAATTTACACAGAAACTCAAATATCTAAAGGTCGAAAAAATTTAAAATTTTGGTATGACACAATTGGTACAACTCTAATATACGCCCTAATTTCACCAAATGTGGCGACATGTGTTCTGCGCTGGTTTTTGGCACGATTGCATGTTCTATGGCAACCCTGTTGACGTTGAAAAATCTTTCGCTGGAGCTCGTTGATTCACCTCTGTGTCTGAGAAAATGGGAGGGAAAGATAAAATGGTAGTTGTTGAATTGAAGTTCGGCAAAAGGAAATATCATTGTGGCTATCCTGTTGAAGGATAGTGGGTATTTGGAAGTGTGGAAAGAGGGTCTGGGAGATTATTTTTAATGGCAGTGCATGATAGAAGTAGGGATTTGTGATTTTATTTATTTGTGAACCATAGTATAAATTTTCTGGATAGTGTGTCTGGCTGTCATGTAAATACGATAGTGATTACGTGGCGGCATGAAATTTATATTTCTGCTATTCGAAAACGCATTAATTCATGGTAAGTGCATTTTATTTTATCCTTGTTCTTATTTTGTAGAATGTTATGTTCATTGGTTCTTTAGTATGAATTTCTGTCATTACTGTTGTTTTTTTAAATTGTTTGAAATTTATTTTGTTGTTTAGTGTCTAGACTGTGCAATTCGTAGATGTTTTTTAAAGTTGAAACAGAATGCTGTGTACATGGTATTATTTGAAATTTATTGTTGTTATGTTATTTTATTAAAGCAAGGAGTGTGTAGATCGTAGATTCCTTCCTTGCCTAAATTGTGCAATTCGTAGAATTTTTTTTAAGTTTAAACAGGATGCTATGTACATGGTATTCTTTGAAATTTATTGTTGTTATGTTAATTTATTAAAGCGAGGTGTGCGTAGTTTGTAGATTCATTCGTTGCCTACATTGTGGCATTCGTAGATGTTTTTTTAAGTTAAAACCTATCGCCATGTACATGGATTCTTGTCAAATATTTTTGGTTAGAAACTTTACGTTTTTGCTATCTAAATTTTTTGTTTCGGATTTTTAGCTAAATTGCATGTTGAAAACGTAGTTTTTGCATGTGCGAAAACCGCGTTTTTGGGGACATTTTAGGCTAAAATTTCGAAATGTAGACAAAAAATTTAGATAGTAATATGGCAGCGTGAAGTTTCTTGCCAAAAATATTTGGCGCAAAATTTGGCGACTTGAGGGCACATATCAGAGTAGTTCCACACAATTTAATACAAATATTATCGATTACATTACAAGAGCGTATACGGTACATGGAAGCAATTCCACAAAGAACCCGGTAAATGTAAACAGTGCCAACAATGGCGATGATAGTTCAAACCTGGTGTTACAGCAGATTCGCAGGTAGCAACCATTAATGTATCGTTTTTGTTCCTTCACTGATGGAACACACAGCGAGTTTATTTAACACTTTAATTTCACAAGATGAAAGATACACTAAAAAAATGATGGCTTTAATCCGAAGTCTGGTACTTTCTTGTCTGTCATTTGTCTGCAGGAATGTTACATGGTTTGGTAAAATCCTAGTATACGGTACAGCCTTGGTATACTTTTGAAAACTGTCGCCAACACCAAAATGACTCATTTACTGCTCATCATAAACACCGTTTTTACTGATCATCATAATGTCGCCAAATCTCCTGTATACAGTGTACTGAGATTAAATCCCAGTGTATTTAGGTATTGAACGCACTAAAAATTCACGGTTTAAAAATACTCTTGATGGAGAATTGTGATAGCAATATAGTTTCATAAACGAATTTAATAGCGTTGGAATCATTATAATTAGAGATTCCTAAACCACACCTCTATTAAATCGTTAAAAACAGTTATTCTATCTATTCTATCGTTAAAAACAGCTTACCTGCACTACTTGCATATCTTGTTATATTCGAAATTACACACTTAAACGAACGTTTCACGAAAGAGGATTTGTTTACAAACATGTTCAAAGCCGGATAAAGTAAATGCATTGCTTGTTTTGCACTCACTGAGTTATTTTACCCACTGTGTGAAAAATAAAGCGTATGTGCCAAGGAAAGGCATATCATAAGACTTTTTATTTTATAACAAAGTAAAAAAAACGTGGGCTTAAGAAAAAAGGAAAAATTAATCTCAGACTTGACAAAACAAACAGATGTGTTATGTTCAATAATTTTGTTAATCGAAATTCAAAAATGTTTCCCAAGTGGGGAAAGGCAAGGCCAACTAGATATCTACAGGCGGAGATCGGAGATCATCATTCGTTAAGTGGTGTTCGACCCGAGGGCCTTTACCACTACATGTTTATCAATCCCCTAAGGACCTGTAAAAGTTCGTTAAATTCCATAAACTGGAAATGTCCTGTGCACTTGTAATAAAAGTGCAAAGTCTTCAGTAGTGAAGAAGTTGATCAGGGGTGGCGACTTATATCGGCCACAGATGAAGTCTTCGTTGGATAAGCTATAATAGCAACTAAATTTTGGCATATCTTTTACACATTATCGTATATTTGACACAGTATCGTACATTAGTAAGATGAAAAAGATGATAAAGATGAAACAAAATCTAGATTAAATAGTTGAAAATAATAAAATATATACAAGAACTACCATCTAACATTATGATGGCCGTTTATGCGGCTGTTCGATTAGATAGTCGTACTCCCCTATGTTTTTAATAACTTCGTGAGTGGAAGAATCACATTTTTCGTAGAATTTGAATGTAATCTTTAGTAATTCAGCATCTAATGGTAAAATCTTTAGAGAATTATGGATGACAGTGTTCCTAACGAACCACGGAGAGTTCGATAGGAATCTGAGAGTTTTACTCTGAAAACTTTGCTTTGCTCTGTTTGAACGTGCAGTAGCTGCCCACGCCGGGAGCGGCATATAGAATTATGGGTCGGATTGCCTGTAGATAGAGTGTTCTTTTAGCGTTGATATTTAACTTCGAATATTTGCACATCAGAGGGTATATGCTCATTAAGGCACGTTGTGCTTTGTCTCTGATATAATTAACATGAAATTTGAAAGTTAACTTCTGGTCGAGATAAATACCTAGATATTTTACTTGGTGGTCACGTGACACGATTTGTCCGTCCATCGTAATTTCTTCTAAGTCTTGAGGGATATTTCCTTTTTTAAAGTAAATCACTTTTGATTTTTCGGGGTTAATTTTAATTTTCCATCCTTTAAACCAGGGTGAAATGTAATTAATGGCATTCTGTAGTTTATTTCTTGCATGATATGGATTAAGTGAGTGACATAAAAGTGCCGTGTCATCGGCATAGCATGCAGTGAGAATATTTTCAATATTAGGAAGATCATTAATATATAAATTATAGAGAAGCGGGGAAATTACCGACCCCTGTGGTAAACCCGCGTGAATTTTTCTTGTGGTGGAATAGTTATCTTGAATCTTAACTTGAAAAGTTCTGTTCTTTAAAAAATCAGCGATTAGATGGATGATGGCAGGTGGGAAAATTATAGTTCATCAGCTTGATGATAAGACCGTGATACCAAACTTTATCGAAGGCTTTCTCTACATCCATAAAAATAGCAGCAACTACTTCCTTTTTATTAAAATTTTCACCTATGAATTCCTACGATTCGGGCGATCTGCTGAGTCGTTGAGAATCCCTGGCGAAATCCAAATTGATGGTCTTTGATGATGTTATTTTCATTAATAAAAGTGGTGAGTCGAGACTCGATAAGCCTTTTCGAAAAGTTTGGCAATCGCAGGCAGAAGACTGATCGGTCTAAAGTTACTTGTGAGATTTCCAAGCTTTGCCAGGCTTTTTAATGACAGTTAAGAATGGCGTGTTTCCAATTTTTTGGGAATGTATTAAGTCTTAAACATGCGTTAAAAATATTTGTAATAAAGAATGATGCCTTTCCTTGGGAGGTATTGCAGGGCCTTTATTAGTGATATTGTCATATCCAGATGCTTTCTTTGGATTAAGTTTCTTTATAATTTTCTGTATTTCTTTGGGAGAAGTCGGGTTGTTTTGATTTTCAGGATCTTTGCAGAGGAAATCGGTCACGTGATTGATAATATTGATATCATTCGGGTGTGGGAAATTATTTATATTAAACTGTTGTTCATAGTTATCAGCGAAGAGGTTGACAATTTTCTTATGATCGTAAATTTTGGTATTATTATCATCAAGAATGGGTCCAATATTGGAGGGAGTGCTTCGGATAGCTTTAGTAACTTTCCACACAGAGTGGTCGGTGTGCGAACTTTCAATGAAGTTATCCCAGCAATTGTTTCTGTACTCTTGGATAAGTTTTCTGAATATCTACAGGCCTGCTCCAAGCTGATGATCACATGATCTGACGTCATAATCTTAGGCTTTCAATTTTGTAAGTTGAGCTTGCTTCGCCGTAGGACTAGTGCTAGTGAGATAATTGTTTACATGTGTTTTTTCTTCTGAAAAATTTTGTATTTTACCGGAAAGTAAAAATATATTCGAATTGAATTTATAAGAAAAAGTTTAGAATGCCAAGAAAGTGTAGTGTACCTAAATGCCGATCAAATTACGATAGCACTAACTGAACATGTGTCCACTTTCAAATTTCCTTCGGATCCTGTACTCTCTCAGAAATGGATAAAAAATATTAATCGCAAAGATTTTGTAGCTGGCAAACACAGTAGTGTATGCATTAAGCATTTCGAAGAAGAATTTATCGTTCGAGAAGATAAAGCTGTTCGTGATGATGGGACGGTATTAGTAGTTCCTAGAACTATTCCAGCTTTAAAAAAAGATGCTTATCCAACGATTTTTCAAAACCAGCCATCTTATTTATCGAAGAAACTTCCCACAAAAAGAAAAACACCGGAAGAAAGAGAAGCAGAAATTGATATTCGTTGTGATAAACAATTTGAACAGTGGAAAAAGAATGATATTATTAGCGATTTTGAAAACCTAATAAATGGTTTTGCAAGAAAAATAGATCTTCCCTCTTCATGGATATTCATAACCAAAGGTAAGATCTTTTGGCTATCGAAATTAGAATTTTTAAACTGTCCAAAAGTGCTTGTATCTTTAAAAATATTGGAAGATTTAAATGTAAGAGTTTTTTTTCAATGAAAATGAAATTCCCATTGAAAAGTTCAAATGGATATTTGGAGAAGAAAAACTATGTGATAAATGGTCTAAACTTGAGACAATGATTAGCCATTTGGATGGTTTTTCTGCTTCTGATATTCATGATGACTGCAATTTAAATTTAGATAAAATATCAAAACTACTGTTGAAATGTGCAGAAACAGAAAATAATCCACATTCTGAGAAATTTAAGTTTTTGTATGAACAGATTCAATTAATGCAAATGAAACAGCCTTCGTATAGTGCAGAATTCCTTGCCTGGTCTTGTTATATATTTTATTGTAATCCAAACAGCTACAATATTATACGTAACAGTAAGTATTTTATATTGCCTCATCCGTCATACTTAAGGAAGTTATCTCTGAAAATTGGCCGAGCAGATTCTGGATTACAAACAAGTCACTGGATGTATTTGAAAAAAAAAAATGTGAAATTTTAAATGATTCTGAAAAAATTGTCAATTTATTATTAGATGAGATATATATAAAACCACAAGTTTCGTATAAAAGTGGTCGTGTTTTAGGTTTTTCGGATAATTCGCAGATGGAGGCCACAACTCTGCAAACATTTATGATAAGCTCTATATTATCAAAAAACAGAGATATTGTAGCAATGTTTCCCGTAAAAAACTTATCATCACATCAATTATTAATATTTACAAAACAAGTAATTGACCATGTACAGTCTTGTGGCTATCGAATTATAACTCTAATATCAGACAATAATAGAATTAACAGAAATATGTTCGAAATGCTTTGTGGTGGTGCATTAAAATCCTCATTTATAAACCCTACCATGCATAATCTTCCTATATTTATATTATTTGATACAGTTCATTTATTGAAATCTATACGAAACAACTGGTTCAATCAGAAAGATTCAAACCAAACATTTTTTATACCGTCATTTGAAAACTCAAATATTGTTTACAATTCCAGTGTTCTACATTTAAAAAAATTGTATGAAATAGAAAAAAATGATAATATTAAAATGGCTCCAACTTTATCAAGAAAGTTTTATTTCCGTCTTCTATAGAGAAGCAGAATGTAAGTACTGCTATTAAACTTTTTGATGAAAAGACTTTAGCTGCTCTGCAAATTGAATCGCAGAATAATAGAACTGGGTATGGAAAAGATGTCTTAGGAACTAAACATTTTATTGATATAATTTTAAAGTGGTGGAAAATTGTGAATGTTAAACACTCTAAAAAGGCCTTACAGTTTCGAGATGTATTTATGCAGCCTATAAGGACACCAGAAGATAAAAGCTTAGAATATTTATCACAGTTTTGTTCGTGGCTTATATCATGGAACGATTTTTGCCCAACAACAAAAAACTGTAAGTCACAAATTGGGGAAACTGTCAAAAGAAACCCAAGTTGCTCTTCTCCATACAACAGCAACATTGAATGAACTTTCAAAGTATTTGTTAAAAGAATTTAAATTACCTTTTATTCTTTTAGGAAAATTTCAGACAGATAACCTTGAGGGACGTTTCGGTCAATTTCGACAAATGAGTGGCTGTAATTATAATGTATCCTTACAGCAGATTATAGAGTCGGAAAGAAAACTAAAATTAATTAGTTTGCTTAAAATGCAGTCTTCTGAGAAAGGTTCATTTATTTTACAACATTTTTCTTGTAATGATATTGAAGATTTTAATGATGATCAACTTATTGATAAGGAATTTGTTGATGTTTTGCATCAATCCAATGATGTTAATGTTACAGAAAAAGATACAATGTGTCTAATTTACATTTCTGGATATGTTTGTAGATCTGTATTGAAGCATATAAATTGTAATCTCTGCAGGAAAAAATTAATTCTTGACAAAGAATTGATAGTTGAATATTGTGAAGATTTTGCGTACTTAGCTGCTATTGATCGA